ATAAATGGCAGTGTATATGATGGTTCCTTGAAAAATTAAAATAGTGCTTATGATTCAGTGATTTACTTCCAAGCAAAGATTGGAACAGATATTTGTATGACAATAAACATAGAAGTATTATTCGTGATAGCCAAAAGGTAGATGCAACCCAAATGTCCACTAATAGATGAGTAAATCAATCAAAAATGATATATCCATATTATAAAATGTTATTCAACTTTTTTAAAGAATGAAGTTATGATACATTCTACAGCATGGATGAACCTTGTAAACAGTATGCCAAGTGAAATAAACCAAATAGGAAAGGACAACTATTATATAATTCCTCTTAGACGAGATGCCTAGTGTAGTCAAATTCATGCAGAAATAAAGTAGAACAAGGGTCACTAAGGGCTGGATGGAGGGGGAAAGAGGAGCTATTGCTTAATAGCTACCCAGTTTCTGTTTGGGTGATGGAAAAGTTCTGGAGATGGATAGTGACAATGACCATGCAACACTGTGACAGTGCTTTAATCATAAATCTTATGAAAAAAAGTTATGTTGAAAAAAATAATATTAGAAAATATGTCCCCCTTCTCCCAACTCATTACAAACTAATTAGACAATCTAGAAGAAATGAACATTTTCTGGGAAAATATGCTGTACTAGTTTTGAGATCAGGAATCTAAACAGAAGAAAACCATATTAGAAAGGGAGAAGTTTATGAGTCCCTCACAAATACGAACACCAAAATATAATAAGCAGGCAGATTCTTCCATTCTTTTAAATGTTAGATAAGCCAATGCCACTTACTCAATTCAAAGATACTGAAGAGGAAGTAAAATTTCTAAAAGATTGTATATCAAAAATACTGATACTAAAACATCTTAAGGTTGTACCAAAAACAATACTGCAGAATGACCTCACTTCTGATTAAGATGGAAATATCTAAAATGAAATATATCAAAAATCTGAAAACGAATAAACAAATATATATGATGAGCAGGTGAAGTTTATATCTGGAATTCAGAAGTGATCTAATATTGAGAAATCCATAATATTTATTGAGATAAAGAGAAATCAAAAGAGCCTACTAATAGTTACAAAAAATATCTATTTGGAAGAATGTAATATATTGATGTTAAATTAAAATATTCAAAATTAGGAATTGATGACTTTTTCATAACTTTACAAGACAAAGTCTTCATATTACTAATGGAGAATGACTAAAAATATCCTAAGGTTTATAGCAGCACTGTTCACAATAGCCAACATATGGAGTCAGCCAAGGTGTCCATCATCAGATGAATGGATAAAGAAGAGGTGGTGTGTGTACACACTGACAATGGAACACTACTCAGCCTGTAAAAAGAAGGGAATTCTGTTGCAACAACATGGATAAACCTGTTGGGCATGATACTAAGTGAAATCAGCTGCACCCACAAAGACAAATACTGTGTGTTAACTTCTGGTGGAATCTAAAACAGTAGAACTCACAGAAGAGAAAGAATGGTGGTTACTGGAGACTGGGGTTGGGTGGAATGGGAAAATGTTGGTCAAAGAGTACCAAGTTTCAGTGAGACACAAGGAATATGTTTCTTAAGATCTGTTACACAGCATTGTGACTACAACGTATTGCAAAATTGCTAACAGTTTCAAATGTTTGCCCCACATAGAAATAAGTATTTGAGGTGATGAATAGGTTAATTAGCTTGCTTTAATCCTTCCACATTTTATACATATATCATAACATCACCTTGTACCCTATGAATATATACAATTACAGTTTTTCAATATACAATAATATTTAAGATATTTATTTATTTGAAATACAACGACAGAAAAAGAGGTAGAGATAGAGAGAGATGCACTGTTTCAATCACCAAATGGCTGAAATGGTTGGAGCTAGACAAGACCCAAGCCAGAAACTCCATCCGGATCTCCCACATGGATGACAAGGGCCCAATTATTTGGACCATTTTCCACTGCTTTCTAAGGCACATTTGTAGGGAGCTGGATCAAAAGCAGAGCAACTGGGGATCAAACCATTGCTCATATGGGATGCTCCTATGGTAAAATTTTTAAAGCTAAAATCTATTTTCCTGAATTTAGAGAAGTCAGTTCAGTTGGTCAGATTTACCATATTATCACATATAACCTCGTATACCATATACAAGGATAAGATATTCAATGAAAAACACGGGTATAGGTGATCTCATTTTAAGAGAGAGGGGGCTGAAAATAAAAGCAAGGAGTTCAAATATCAGCACCTCTTGGCCCCAAAGGTATACAGTCCTAGCTTCAAATGAGTTTTGAGTACATAGGGTGAGCTCAGTGCTGGGAGCTTGGAGAAAGAAACAGGAGGAAGGGTTGTTTCTGTTTCCTCATCGGAGAGAAATATATTTTCCAATTTAAATGCTGGGGCAGCCATTGTGGTTTACTGGATGAGGCCACCATCAGATGCCGGCATCCAGTATGGGCACTGGTGCATGTCAAGGCTGCTCCGCTTCCAATCCAGCTTCCAGCTAATGGCCTGGAAAAGCAATGGAAAATGTTTGGGCCTCTGCCACCATGTGAGAGATCTGGATGAATCTCCTGTCTCCTGGCATCAGCCTGGCCCAGTTCTGGCCATTATGGCCATCTCAGGAGTGAACTAGCTGATAGAAGATCTCCCTCTCTCTCTGTAACTCTGACTTTCAAATAAAAGAATTGGGGCCGGCGCTGTGGCACAATGGGTTAAAGCCCTGGCCTGAAGCGCCAGCATCCCATATGGGTGCCGGTTCTAGTCCCAGCTGCTCCTCTTCCGATCCAGCTCTCTGCTATGGCCTGGGAAAGTAGTAGAAGATATCCCAAGTCCTTGGGCCACTGCACCCATCTGGGAGACCTGAAAGAAGCTCCTGGATCCTGGCTTCAGATCAGTGCAGCTCCCCAGCACAGCTCCCCAGCCATCTGGGGAGATGGAAGACCTCTCTCTCTGTCTCTACCTCTCTCTGTAACTCTTTCAAATAAATAAAATACATTTTTAAATAAATAAATAAAAGAATCAATTAAAATCTAAGTTCATTTGATTCCAGAAATTTATTTAAGGAAAAAAAGACCTCGGGATCCAATGTTGTGACACTGCAGGTTAAGCCACTGCCTGTAATACTGGCATCCTATAGGAGCACAGGTTCAAGCCCCAACATGTTCCACTTTTGATCCAACTCCCTGCTAATAATGCGTCTGAGAAGGCAGCTGATGATGGCCAAGTACTTGTGTCCCTACCAGCCACATGGAAGACCTGAGTGGAGTTCCCAGTTCTTGGCTTTGCCCTGGGCCATCCCAGACCAATACGATCATCTGGGGAGTGAACCAAAAGATGCAAGATTACCTCCACCTGCACCTCCACCTCCATCCCTCCACCTCCCCCTTTCACTCCCTCTCCTCGCTCTCCACCTCCTCTTCTCCCCTCCCTCTCCCCCTTTCACTCCCTCTCACTTCCCTCTCTCTATAACCTTGCCTTTCAAAATAAATAAATGTTTAAAAAATAAAAATATAAAACCTTGGTAAAACACTAGGGGGAAAAAACTTCAAAGTTTGAGAAACTGATACTAGTTCTGGGGAAAACAGAGGTATGCCCATACCCTTTATAGGAAATAATCTTAAGGAAAATTCTGCAGCATGTACAGTGGTGAGCCAAATTCCAGCTTGTATCACCTTCAGAATTTCCACAAACAGAAAAGGAACTGTGAACTCTCAGATTAAAAACCATTACAGGTGTAAATCATGTTATTGCAAACTTGAAAAATTAGTTTACTATTTACTTTTATTGTTCACATAGACATCCTTATTGAATGTTTCCAAGAATACTTTCAAAATTAATAATTTAAGGGGCCAGCAGGCATCCCACATGGGCACCGGTTTGGGTCCCAGCTGCTCTACTTTCAATCCAGTTCCCTGAGCTAATCATCATATGAAAGAGTTATCTGTACCCTCGTGTTCATTGCAGCACAATGCCCAATAGCTAAGATATGGAATCAATCCAGATGTCCATCAACTGAAGACTAGATAAAGCAATTATGGTGTATATACACTATGGAGTACTACTCAGCCATAAAAAAATAAAAATAAATGAAATCCTGTCTTTTACAACAAAATAGATGCAACTGGAAACCATTATACTTAGTGAAATAAGCAATTCCCAAAAGACAGATACCATATGTTTTCCCTGATACAAGGTAACTAATAGAATACCTAAAATGTATTGTATTGGAGTGAAATGGACATTTTGAAATTAGATGAGCTCTTGTCTTTTTTCTTTCTTCATACTGTTTGTTGAACTCTTAGTGTAGGATTAACCTCACGATAAAGAAGTAAACTGAAAGTAGATCTTTGTAAAAATTAGGAGTGGGAATGAGAGAGGGAGGAAGAATAAGAGTTGGAGCGTGGGCAGGAGGGAGGAGTGGGTGGGAAGTACCACTGTGTTCCTGAATCTGTATATATGAAATACACGAAACTTGTATGCCTCAAATAAAATGTAATAAGAATAAAAAAGGACAACACCACTTCCAAATAATTGAGAGTAAGGACTTTAGGAACTGAAATTAGTTGCAGCAATCAATGACAAGCAAAATACAGTATGTTTCCGGAACATCTCAAAGGTATTTTAATTCACCGCAGGACGTGTGGAGTGGAATACAGAGTTGACGAAAGGAAACTGAATTTAAATCGATACAAGCAGAGATTTTTGTTCCGGTAAAGCAGGGCCTTGGCCTGAAGAGTGAAGGCGGATCTCCGCCTCCCTGGCGGGCAGCGAGCAGAAACCAATCACCTCGTGGTGGGCGCTATGGTGAAGCTGCACCGTCCACAACCGCACGGTTTCCCACGCAGACAACTGTGCAATCACTGCTCCTCCCGCCGCAGCCCGAGGGCGCGCCGCATCCCAGGCACACACGAACATGTCCGCTGCCAACCTAGGCTGCTCCAAACCCTGCCTCTTCCGGCGCAGATACTGCCCGCGCCCCGCCCCAGCGCGCACGCGCGCCCGAGCCACTTCCGGTGGCAGACCCGGAAGTGGATAGCGCGAGGCCGCCGGCGCGCTCTGGTGAGTGAGTCTCCGTTTTTCTGGTTCAGACGCCCGGTCTGCGGGTCCGTGGCGCCTGTGCTGCAGAGCCGGGGCTCCGGGGTAGCCTTGTAAGTTAAGACCTCTCCGCCGTGAGCTCGGCCCCCTCGTTGCGTCGCCGTCTGGCGTTCCGAGTCTTGTCGCTCCGTGCGGGTCCGCGAGCTCCGCGTCCATTTTCGATTAAAGGCGTTGTGAGGCCCGGATGCTTTCCTCCTCGGCTCTGACTCCCGACTGCTGGCCGCGCGCCGTTCTCCGCTCCGGAGAGCAGGAGGGGAAGGGGGAAGGTTGGGGAGCGACCCGCAGAGCGGGGCCAGACGCGATGGAGGAGGAAGCGCAGAGGAGGGGAACAGAGGGGAAGAAGCAGCGACGTTCGCGGACGGAGTGGGAAGCCCTGGGATTGGCGGTCACTGGTTACTCTCGGATTAATTCAGATTGCTGAAAGCAGGAGGAAGGGGAGAATTGCAAAATCCAGAACGTGGTGCTTCTGCACTTTTCTCGTCACAGAGTTGCACGAGGAGATAAGAACCCTGTTTAACCAGGGGGCAGAATCAGCTCCGCGGGTCGGGAAAGGAGAGCGCAAGAAATGGGAGCGGACTCCACGGTGCTTTATTAAAAACAGACGTTCACAGTGTTGTCCTCGCCCGCCTCTTTGGGGGCTCATGTCATTCTTTGCCTAAATTTGACATATACTCAAAACTTGTAAAATTTCATCCCAGAATTAATTGGATTTGTATTATGTTCCTAGTTACTCTCCTTCCTGAGATTATAGTTAAGATTATGAGATTCAATTGCTTTCTGCTCTTTAGTTGGGTATTGGAACTATTTTGTTTGGTGTCTGGTCACTGATTTTACAGTGTTTTACTGCGCATCTAACAAGGATATTGATTATCATTTAACATTCAGAACCTAGTTTAATCAGTTATATGTGATCTTTGAATTCGCCTGCTCTAACCTGAAGTCTCCAGCTAAGTACACTGTTCCCCTCAAGTCTCCTTGGACCCCTCTCTGCAGTATTTAAGGACGGGCTGAATTCATGTGGAGTTTTTTTCCCTACATCTATGAAGAATTTGCTCAGTTTCTCTCCACAACTGACCCCCTCTCATGTTTTCCAGAAGTCATAACTATTTTTAATTTCATATCTTTTTAAACTTTCTTGGAAAAGAGGAGATAAATGCTTGACCTTGATGAAACCTGTGGTACTAGTAGAATCTTCTTGTTCAGGAGTGTGAAAGGTAGTCTGGAATAAGAACAAACCCTTCCCACTGCTGTCTACAACCCGTTTCAGAATTCACTTACACCGAGTTCTGCCCACTCAACTCGGACTTTTTCAGGTAGCTTGGCAAAGTGACCCCAACCCGCCATCAAAGTCTCAGTGTATGCATCTATATCCTGGAGTAGAACAGGAATTCTGAGTCTGAGCAAATGGGAATGCCAGCCAAAATGTCTCAGAATTAGATGTGTCTGTAGGTGGCAGTTTTTGAAAGGAGGTACCCACATTATCCATAGAATTTTAAGTGAATCTCAGCCCTCCAAAAATGCTGAAAAACATTAGGAAACAAATTGAACGAAGGCTCAGAGATAAGAGAGACGCCTCTCTCTGAGCTTTTCCCTCACCTCTGTTTCTTCATCTCTGAATAAGGAGTAAGTCTTAGGTTTGATTGTGTCATCTCTTGGCATTAAACCTTGTTTGTGGTTTCTCCTCTCTATCAGACAAAAATTTAAACTTCTCACTATGGCCACAGCAGGGAGCTCTGGGACTAACATGATCTTCAGAGTTGGTACAAATTGAGAGAGGGGTGGTTTTTCATATCTGTGTTGACCAGTCATTGGATGCTCACTACCTAGGGAGAGGCCATGAAGTTGGATGAAGCAGTTTCCTTTTGACTGAGTGCCAAGTGGACAGAGGACAATGAGGATGAAGTAGGATGTGGACTGCAGCAGGAGGAAGGGGCTTTCTGGGGAAATGGTTTCCAGTACTACCACCCGGCTCTGTAAAGGAGCTTACAGTCAGTCCCACAACCCCTCCCACTGAAGTGGACATCAAAAGATCATCTCTTCCATGTTTGAAGATTCTTTGTTGGGGTAGGCATTGTGGCCATTTTAAGACACTGCCTGCAATGCCAGCATCCCATATGGGCACTGGTTTGAGTCCTGGCTGCTCCACTTCCTATCCAGCTCCCTGCTAATGGGAAGGCAGCCCCTCTCTCCCTCTCTCCTCCCTCCCACCCCCGCCCCATCCTTCTCTCTTCTGTTATCTCTCTAACTCTTTCAAATAAATACAAGGTTCTCTGTATGTGATGTGTACTTGTGGTAGAAGAAGGGAGCATGCTGATTCTAAACACTAAACAGCATATTTTTAACACACAGGCAAATCTTTCCTGAGAAAGAAGCCCAAAGGAAGAGGAAAAAAAGAGAATGGCTCTTTCCCAGGTAAAAATCATATTATTTGGTTGTTATGTCTTCTTCCTGAAAAGCCAGTTTTTAGACTTGAAGTGTCCTACCTAGCATGTATTCACACCCAGAGTCTCTCATGACTCCTCTCTCATCTTCACGTAGTGACCAGTGACAGGGAAGTCGGCAAGAGGTTCATCTTCAGAAGGATTCTGTGCCCAGCAGTGTATTGAAGATTAATGGCAGGTTCCATAATGTCAGTGACATTGGACAGTAGGAATTGTTTAGAGACTCCATCTAGATGCCCTTTCAGTTAGTCCTTTGTAACCCACAATTAAAGAAATCGCTTATGTAAGTGGTGAACGGGCATAAATACCTGAAAAACCTTAGAAAGGAAGACTGATGGAGAAACTTGCTCAACTTAATTTTGTAATGCATTTGAAGTGAAATAATTGAAGCAGTGTGTTTCTGGCTCCAAAATAATAGTAATTTGGAGTAGAATGGGAAATCTAGGAACAGACATTAAAGTGGTTTTTTTTTTTTTTAAGTGAAAGGCTTTTTTTTTTTTTTTTTTTTTAAGATTTTATTATTTGAGAGGTAGAATTACAGAGAGAGGTCTTCCACCTGCTGGTTCGCTCCCCAAATGGCCGCAACAGCTGGAGCTGTGCTGATTCAAAGCCAGGAGCCACGAGCTTCTTCTGGGTCTCCCATGCAGGTCTGGGAGCCCAAGGACTTGGGCCATCTTCTGCTACTTTCCCAGGCCACAGCAGAGAGCTGGATTGGAAGAGGAGCAGCCAGGACACGAACTGGCACCCGTATGGGATGCTGGTGCTGCAGGCGGAGGCCTAGCCCACTACACCAGAGGACCAGCCCATGGAGTGAAGATTTTTTAATAATTGGTTTTAAAATATGGAATCAACCTAATTAGTAGTGTGTTCTTTAAATTATTGAAAGTGTAGCTGTCTCATGAAGACCTACTATTTAGAAACTATCTAACTGGTGTTTTAAATAAGTGGTTACATTTTGGTAAGACCTGGAAGCAAAACTTCTGTCCTCAGAGAGGCTGAAGCCAAATTCTGATTATCCTATTTATTGTTAGATGTTATATTTAGTTTGTATTAAATATCATGATATAAACATAATTGTAATAAAACTCCATACAATGCTGCTACTTAGAGACTAAGAAGTAGAATACCTTTATCCCTCTCACATTGTCTGCCACTCACTATATCCATCAAGAACTACTGTAATTCTTTTTAGTGTAAATCTTAATAAAAATGATTTTAGGGGCCAGCACTGTGGCGTAGTGGGTAAAGCCACTGCCTGTAGTGCCAGCATCCCATATGGGCACCAGTTCAAGTCCTGGCTAGCTCCACTTCTGATCCTGCTCTCTGCTATGGCTTGGGAAAGCAGTAGAAGATGGCCCAAGTCCTTGGGCCCCTGCACCCATGTAGGAAGACCAGGAGGAAGCTCCTGGCTGCTGGCTCCTGGCTTTGGATCAGCACAGCTCTGGTTATTGCAGCCAATTGGAGAGTGAACCAGCAGATGGAAGACCTCTCTCTCCTCTCTCTGTGTAACTCTGACTTTAAATAAATAATCTTTTAAAAAATTATTTTATATATTATGTGATTTTGTAAAATATTCTTTAATTAATGCATTGTGATATTTTATTCTACATGTTTAAATATTAGCATAGTATGTGTCTTGGAGTTGTTTTTATATTAGCAAATATAAAGATAACTTGAGTTTTTTGGGTCCTCTTTGGAACATCATCTTTTTTAAGACGTGAGTCCTTTACCATTTTTTTACTGTTACAAAGAGTGTCACACTGGCTCCTTCTGAGTAAGGCAGAAGCACTACAGCTGTCTTAGAAAGTCTCCATATTAGGCAACTTGAAGTATGACTACTTGTTTAAGGATGATGTTTAGGAAGAAATATAGACAGTGTCTTTACTAAAAATAGTTTAAGTCTGCTATCTTAAAGATGTCCAGAAAGGAAAAGGAACCATGGACAAGGAAGTAAAGGAAAGCATGATAGTAATTTTCAACAGACTGTAAGGTGGGAAATAGGGCCAGTGTTATGGTGCCCTATGCAACGCTGGGTTCAGCTGCCATATGCAACACCGGCATCTCATGTGAGTGCTGGTTCAACTCCCGGCTGCTCCACTTCTGATCCAGCTCCCTGCTAATACACCTGGGAAAGCAGCAGAAAATGGCCTAATTCCTTGGGCCACTGCCACCTACATGGGAGACCCAGATGGAGTCCTGGACTCCCAGCTTCAGCTTAACACAGCCCTGGGCATTGTGGCCATTTGTGTAGTGAACCAGCAAATAGATGGAAAGTGATCACTCACTCCCTCTCTCTTCCTCTCTCTGGAACTGTCTTTCACATAAATAAATCTTTTTTTTTTTTTAATGGAAAATAAAAACTTTTAGAGCTGAAAAGTAAACTAACAAAAATTTTCTGTTGAATTTCAACAGCAACTTGACAATAAAGAATTAGAAAATTTAAATATAAACTAATTGAAATTACCTAGGCTGGTGCCGTGGCTCACTAGGCTAATCCTCCGCCTTGCGGCGCCAGCACACCGGGTTCTAGTCCCGGTCGGGGCACCGGATTCTGTCCCAGTTACCCCTCTTCCAGGCCAGCTCTCTGCTGTGGCCAGGGAGTGCAGTGGAGGATGGCCCAAGTGCTTGGGCCCTGCACCCCATGGGAGACCAGGAGAAGCACCTGGCTCCTGCCTTCAGATCAGCGCAGTGCGCCGGCCACAGCGTGCCAGCCGCGGTGGCCATTGGAGGGTGAACCAACGGCAAAAAGGAAGACCTTTCTCTCTGTTTCTCTCTCTCACTGTCCACTCTGCCTGTCAAAAAAAAAGAAAAGAAAAGAAAAAGAAAGAAAAAAGAAATTACCTGCTGGTCTGAGCAGACAGGGAACAAATGAAGAAAAATTAAAAATGACTAAGAAAGCTTTGGGTCATCATCAAGCATATGAATGAACATACAATAAGAGTCTTGAAAAAAGAAGGTAAAGGGTAGGGGCTGGCTCTGTGACCTAGCAAGCTAAGCTTCCACCTGCAGTGCCAGCATCCCATATGAGTGCTGGTTCTAGTCCCAGCTGCTCCTCTTCTAATCCAGCCCTCAGCTATGGCCTGGGAAAGCAGTAAAAGATGGCGCAAGTCCTTGGGCCCCTGCACCCACAAAGGAAACCTGGAAGAAGCTCCTGGCTCCTGGCTTCGGATCAATCCAGCTCCGGCCATTGCAGCTGTGTGTGGAATGCACCAGTGGATGGAAGACCTTTCTCTCTGTTTCTGCCTTTTTCTATATATAACTCTTATCTCTAAAATAAACTAAAATAAACTATTTTTGAAAAGATAAAGGATACAAAACTGTTCAAAAAATAAGAGCTGAAATGTCAGATTTATAAAGAAGGTGAATATGTAAATGTCAGAAGCTCAGTGAACTTCAGTTTTGATGAATTCATAGATCTATAGCAAAATACATAATCAAACTGAAGACAAGGGAATCATGAAAAAAGCAAGGCAGGAATGAATGATTTTTCATGTGCAGGGATCTTCAATAAGATTAGCAGTCAATTTTACAAAAATGGAATACAGAAATTAGCAATTACAGTGACCGGAAATTAAGGAGATAGCATAGTTAAAGCTTGAAAGGCAAAAAGAATTCACTAGGGGGAAAAAAAAAGATTTCACTATCAGGCAAAAAATCCTTCTAATTGAATGATGAGATCAACAAGATCTGAGGGAATTTGCAGTAGTACACTTATCCTGTTATCCTGTATGAAATGCTGAACAGAATTCTTCAGGCTGAAATGAAAATCTTAGCAGCACCATTAAATATAGAGTAAATAAAGAACATTGGATACATTATCTATATAGGTGAATAAAAAGCCATTGTTACCACATTTTTATAATTTTTAACTCATGCTTTTTCCTATATGATTTTAAAGGACTGTACAAAACAATAGTTATAAACCTGTAACTAGATATAAAATATAAAAAGAAATGATGTTTGACAATATATAGGGAGGGAGTCAGCAGTATAGAAGCAGAAATATATGATTGAAGCTAGGTTAGAATAAATGAAACTTAAATATTATCAGTTTAAGATATAAATCTTTAGCGTAAACATTAAGAAAATAACCAAATGATATGCAGAAAAGGAAGTAAGGGAATCAAAACACTGTACACACAAAAACACACAAAGAAGGAATGGAGGAATTATGAAACAAAAAATAGTAAAAGAAAAGAGGTGACAGAAGTAATTCTTCATCAGCATCATTTTAAATATAAATGGATTAAATTCCACATTAAAATGCAAAGACTAGCAGAATGAATATTTAAAAGGACACTTAATTCCAGTAGATGCGTCTACATAAGGCTCACTTTAGAAACAGAAAACAAGTAGGTTGAAAGTGAACAGATGTAAAAAGATAGTCCATGTAAACAGTAAAGAAACCTGACTGTATCCATATAAATATGAGACCAAATAGATATTAAGTCAAAATTGTTACAAGAGATAGTGAAGGACCATATATATTAGCAAAGGGGTTAGCCCATTGAGAAAAATCTAACATCTGTAAAAAATGCAGAGCTGTCAAAGGAGCTCTCGATTTTTTGGAGCAAAAATTTAAGGTAGTTAATACTATGAAGTTGTAGACCTCAATACTCCCTTTTAAATAATGGACAGAACAACCAGACAAAATATTAATAAAGGACTCAAACAACCCTGTAAACCAACTGCACGCAGCCAACACATACATAGCCCTGCACTCAACAGAAACAGTCTTCTCATGTGTACATGAGACATTCTGCAGGATTGACCATATATTAGGCCACTGAACAAGTTTCGATAAATTTAAAAAGATGGAAATGTAAACCATATTCTTAGACCACAGTGGAATGAAAGAAGAAATCACTTACAGTCGGAAAAACTCACAAGAATGTGGAAATTGACACACTTTTGTCATTTTAAAATCACTCTATTGAAGTATGATTGACATGTAACATGATGTACATATTT